TTTGGCAAGTTTTAATTCTCTACTTTCGATTGAAATTCGCGGTAAATTGTGTTGTTTTACAAATGAGTTGTTAAAAGCGGAATAGCACAGACATCCTGAATCCATGAAAGCATTCACGCAAAAGCTTTTATTGATTAATACTTCTAAGATGAACGGGGAGCCGTCCAGTCTTTTAACAACATTTTTTATATTACAATCCACAATCTTAGATAACCCCTGAGCCCGACTTTGCCCAGAGTTTATTCTTTTCCTGGTTCTATGTCACCCTCACCATCGAATTCTTCCTCTCTTATTTTAAAATTTTTTGTGTTGGAGGATGTGGCATTAATAGTAGCAGGTCGCTTTGCCCAGGTAAAGTGAGGACATTTTTTAAAAAATTGTCCTCTCTCTCCACAGCAGGTGCATTTCCCAGCAGTCCGAAGTGCATTGAAGTCGTCACTAGACCGCCATAGAGCAGGAGGCTTGCTTCCATCTATTCTTCCTTTTCCTTTATCCATCCTTACCGCGTTGACAATTGCAGATAAAGTCGCCATACTGATGCCATTTATACCTGACATAGCCGTATCTCCGTCTGCATCTAAAAATGGTCTGTTATCTCTCTGGGACGCGCCAGCAACTGCCTTTCCTTCAGATGATGATTTATAGATAACCTCCGATTGACCATTGAAATTTGTTTTGGTGTATTTGACACCATCCTTGAAGTTGTGGCTCTCGTTTGCCTCAATTCGACTCGCAGTTTGCTGTACTTGTTTTACAAACAAGGCATAATTGTCCTCCGCAACGTCTTTGGAATAAAGAGCTTTTGTCAGCCTTTTGTTCAATCCCATGTAGAGGAAGTTGATCTTTACTTTTCCTTCCCAGCTCAATCCTCTTGCTTGGGCTAGAGTGTATTCGAAGTCATTGAGAAAATTTGCGAATAGTTGATTGTCGCCTTGCTTCATCTTCGACAGGGTTGATCCAGCTATGCGAGCTGATGTTTTATCCTCGAATGAATCATTAAAGTGCTGGATAAAATCTTCGTAGTCCCAATCCAAATTAGGTCCTCCACATGAAAACCAGTGAGAAACTCGAAGCTTGCGATCTGTAGGGAGCGTATTCATCATTTCATTACAAACAGCCTTATGCCCCCCCAACATTTCCCAGTCACTCTCGATTTTGGCTGTCAGCTGGTCAATGTATACACAATAAGTTTCCGTGGCCCCATTCCATTCGGGCCACCTTGACAACTGCTTCTTTGCTTCTTGAGGTGGGGGTCTCGGAATATGCGGCCTTGGTGTATCCTGAACAGTTATGAGACTTAGGATATGATTTAATTGCTCTTGCGTGACTGTGAGGGGTGTTGTTGTCTGCTGTGCATCATCTACAGCATCATTTTTCGGCATGGTGCTTTTTAGGTGAGCGTTGGAAGTTGATAAAGATTGATCAATTCGTGACTCTGATGATATTTCGGATGATTGCAATGATTCCGAGGAGGAATAGAAATTAAATTTTCCCGGGAACATGTAAACTTATAAAAATCAGGAGAGGTATGAAGACATTTGCTGGTAGTGTAAAAAGGAGAGATAAAATATATGTGAAGGGACTTCACATTTGTTGTTCACAATTATGGGTCCAAAAATGAATTTATATTTTATCTAAGGAGGAGAATATTTACAACGCGCGGGCAAGATGTTTTGTTCCAATCGAGCGTGTTTTCCCGTGACACTAGCGCGCTTTTGTTCATAGACGGAGCTGGATAGTTCCGGATCCACATATAAGGCTACAGCTTGTAACAGATGGCTGGTAATTAATGGGGCAAGCTCCTGTTTATAATTAGAGCAACTTCTATATTGGAAGTTTAGGCGAGATGATGTGTGGTTTGAAAGAGGTTGAGGTCTCAGATGTCACGGAATGTGGTCGTGATCTAATCGATCGATCGAAATATACGAAGTTTATGTTGATTTCCTAAAATAATGATATCACATGAGCAATTAAATTGCGGAATAAGAGCTTTAGGAAAGGAAAGAAATTTTTTCGGGTGTATGACTAAGCGTAACCTGAGATCAGCATTATCCATGGGCTGCCTACAGTGAACGGCAGGAGTTTGTGAACTAGACCCTGTAATATCAAATGAGAATGGTGTGAGGCATTATTGAGAAGTCGTCAAATGGAGGTATGCTTGAGGTTGATTTCGACTTCGATTCGGATACGATTCTTCTTTGCTATCCCAGACATGCAGAGCATGCTGAGCAATTACACTGGCACCACTGGAAGGTGAATAATTCGTCGTTGCCGGCTCTAGTCTGCAATATTGGTAGTCCCTGAAGCTATCTAAGCGCCAGACTCTATCACTGCCGTACTGGTGTAGACAGTACAGACCCAAGACATTTACCCGCAACACTCTGGCCCGACAGACTTGAGAACCACTGAAAACATCTATAACTGTATTTTATAAGTAGAATACGCCAAAAATAGTTTTTCTTAACGTAACTCGCGAGCTTAATCCTGGCCATCGTTCCAAGAAACAACACCACTGGAAGGTAAAGAATTCGTCTTTGTTGGCAGTTCAACAACCTCATCCTGCCTGGGTGACTAGACTATCTCTGACTACACCCGCGTGTTGAACATGTCAAGTCCAAGCGTCCAGAGAAGTCAATATTAACATGCCGAAGGGCAACTCCCTAAGAGTAGACCACCACGCGCCCGACCCCTTCACATCTTCCCATCCTTGATCATACTTTCATATTCATTCTCGCATTGCTCTGCCGAGGCATTTTCTCTACTTATCAAGGAGTTTTTTCCATCATTCGAGATACTATCTAGTCGCCCACCGAATCCTCGATTTTTCTTCCCCTTTTATCCTTCTTTGTAGCGTGTCCTTCAACCTTCCATCATTATCGTCATCTCCAAACATTACAGACTTTCCAGTTCCTCAGCCGTACCACTGATCGTGGAGACCGAAATGGTGCCGGAGAGCTCAAGATATAGACACTAATGTGTCGGATTTCATCGAATAATTTGGTTGATACATTGACAACTGTCATAAATATTTCGTCAGAGGCGATAAATCGCAGGTTGAGTTGTTAGTGACCTTGGCAAAGGCACAGACAAATGTAGGGCTAGTACTTCGTCCGGAAACCCACAGCGCGCGAAAGTTCAGGCGGAATAAAAATTATCTTGTATCTCAGATTACGATTTAAAATTACGAATTTTGAAGCGCTTCGGTAGGTTGTAAAATGATTGTGGAGAGGGTCGCAAGATGAAATTGGCTAGGAAAGATCATTTAGGAAATTTAGAGATGGTGAAGGTTGTTAATTGTTTCAAGCAGAAAATCAAGCAGGTTTCATCCTGTCTGCTTTTCAAACTTAGAGTGTAAACGTTTGACTTGGTCTGGCTTTACAGTCATGAAATCTCTGCACGTCGGATTCTCGACCAAAAGGTTGCCTACACTACTCATTGTTGGTAAATCGGTATGAGTTCGATGAGTAAGGCGGCTCAAAGAATATGGGCGCGATTTTATGAAAAGAATAATAATGATATGTCGGGAGAAAATGTGATGTACTGTGGAGAAATAAAGGATGGATTGAATGAATTGAATTAATTTGATTATCTGTCTTGGTGATTCCTAGACAGCTTATATACATGTATACTTGATAGACCAAATCCAAACTAGATACCATCCATCACTCGTTCCATACTCTAACAATGACAATGAATCGCACGACAGTATACAACATGAGTATGGGATCAGGGTCGGTGGATGAAAGCCTACACGGGTATCCGACCATACCATGCACTAGTCGAGTCTCAAGCATCAAACATGCTCAGTAAAGGAGATATCAATCATCTAGGTCATGAGTTGGGCTGTGAGTTATGTGTGAGAATCTTAGTTGTTCCAATCATGGGGAAACTTCAGACACATAGAGTCTGAATTTTCAACACTCATCCCCATCGCCGTGGCGACAAAACTCTCAAATTGACCCTATATCATGATAGAATCTCGGCTACAGGGAAATACTCCATCCTCAGGTTCATTTGTTACGTCACTCACAGGTTTCCAGACCTCATACCTTCATTTTTTTGGTTTAAAGTTACAGCCCTGAAAATTTCAACCACTCGGTCATAATGTCTGTCTCATGCCTGTAACCGGAATGAATATCACTATGGGGGATGGATTTCGCTCTATAAATATGTGTTATTCCGTCATGCTTTCTTGTTTCTTTCAATTGAATAAATCTGTAAATACAGAAGTTTGGTACTTAATCTAGCTATGCCATTCCCAAAACAATAGGGCTGGTTAATCATTATACATCATAAGCGCAGCCCAGGTCAGCGAATCATCATAATTTCTAATTTCTAAAATTTGGATATTGTTGCTTTTGGACCCGATTCATACCGCCGGGATTTCATACGGAATTCCATTGCTATATAAGCTGAAGCTGAGAGTCAGAAAATAGCCCTGGGGACCTTTAAGCATTTTTTCATAAGATCATTTTATCCATCCGGCCTCTCATCATTTTTCCGTTTGTTCAAATGTAATGTCGAAGTTCTTATTTAGAAATAAAGCAAGGCTGAACCACCTGACTGAAGTGATTCGACCTTTGAAAAATATATATTTAACAATTTGTCCGCTAGATTCCTTTGCTTTTTGATGGTTGTATTTCCATAAAAACTAGGGCTTACACGGATATGGTGGTAAGCCATATTAATTTACTTTATCTGCACTTTAGTTTCTCAGGAGTAATCTGAGAGTTATGATGAGCGTGAAGAAGCACATTATTCATCTAAAAATCAATGGATAATCATTGCGTCATATTCTATACTTGCCATAAATACGCCCACATAAAAGTCCATTGTCAGCTGGGGTCAACCTCAAAAATAAAAGTAGCCCATGTAACTTTTTACCCCAAGTATCCGGAGAGAAATTAAAATAGCCCTATCCTTAGATTAGGTAAGCCAAAAACTTTTTATGTCATTTCCTGATCATGACCTTGCTATACCTTGCCGAGCCTAAAACATGGTTAGCATTCAAATTTTAAAGTGCAGACTATTTTACGAACTTTCATTCGCTCTATCCTTGCTTTTAAAGCGCTTGTGACCTCTGCTGCCCTTTTCCAGCTTTCTACTCCTTGTTCAGGTTCATTTCGAGCGCTATCAGTAGTTATTTCTCTGCTGACTCTAGAGGGCTGATAAGATAGTGGTGCAGGGCTATTCCGCCCACTGGTTGCGCTTGTTCTGCCGTTTCTACCGAGATCCGGAGAAATCTTGTTCCGAAATGACGTAGATAAATGATCACCATTTTCTTTTTCTTCACTTAGTGCGGAAGTATAAGATAATCTAGATCGGTTGTAAGCTTGACGGTTGTCGGAAACACCACCGTACATCCCAGTGTCACGAAATACACCAGTATCCTCATTGATGGCTTCTCTAGTTGGACTCATCGCAGATGGACTACTAACTCGTTCAGCGTTCGTTAATGCACGCTTTAACCTTTCCATTTCTCTTTTAAGTTGACCACACATTGCTTCTGCCGCCTCACAGTCAGATCTGGCACGAACTAATTGAGTCTCTTTGGCCATGACAGAAAGTGAATCTCTAGCTCGATCTTCGATCAATTGTGCCGTCTCATTCTTAAGGCCTTGCACTTCTGAGTTAAGCCTCGAGCGTTCTTGTCTCAGGTCATCATTTTGTCTAAGCAGCCTATCTTTGGCTAGCCGAAGCTCTTCTAGTTCAGATCTTTCGAGGGCAGTTAGTTCAGATGATTCGAGAGGGGGCGATACTTGATTTGGAGGTATAGTGATAGATGGCGGTAGCTTGGCAGCAAGAGATCTTCCGGCTAGTCCTCGCCCTAAACCAGTTCTTGGGGCTAGCGTAACTTCTTCTTCTGGTGGTAAAGATTGTGCAATAGTACGACGGGGGGATGTTATACTCCCGGCGCTGGGGAGCGCTCGCTTCGTTGGCGCCTTAAGTCCAGGCGTTGAAGTTGAAGATGCCTTTGGGCCTACAGATTTTAATACTGTTGTGCTTTTCGCTAGTTGTGTGGAAGCAGCAGGTGTTTCCTGTGCGTATACACTTGGTGCCGGAGGTGGCTTTTTTACGGTTGATTTTTTGACAACTTTGCGGGGTGCAGCGGCTGGTGGTACTTTAGCAGTTGGAGCAGGTGGAGGAGGCTTTGGTTTATCCTTCGCTTTTACTTCGGCGTTGTCAAAGTATTCTTTAATTTTAGACTTTCGGCTGTCGTCAAGACCCTCCAAGTGAGGACCCATGGATCTCTCGCCCATTATCTTCATAACTGTTCCCAAAACTTCGGCACCACCAGCTCGTAGAACCTCAGTTGGCTCGGCCAATAAAACTTTAGCAGACGCTACTATGGAAGAGATTTCTTGCTTAGAAGGGGCCTCTCGAGTATTTTTGAGGCATCGGATAAGGAATTTCATCGTTCCCTCTTTGACCTGAGGGTTCTTGTGCTTCAAGTTTTCTAATATCTCTTCTAAATTATCCGACAAACTAGTGTTGATGAAAACCTGATCTAAAACTGCACCAAGTACATCAGAAACTGCGGTTTTTTTCTCTTTCAGCCTCTCAAAAATTGGCCCGGAAACGGTAGTCCTGTACTTTCCGAAAGGTTTCCTTAATCCTTTCGCAAGAACTTCTAAGCATTGAGCTGACTGCGTCACGACAGCGATATTTGGGTCTTTAATGCACTTGGCAAGACCTCGGATTACCTCTCCAAAGTCGCCATCCTTAATTTTGGGTACGTTTAAGATCGCAAAGGCTGCTTCTAGTGCTTCTTTCCTTTCCTTCCACTTCGAAGAGGATACTTGTTCCGTGAAATTGGGAGAAATGTTTGTCAGTACATCCTGAGGCTCTAACATGGCGAAAACATCAATTTCTGCTTCTTCCTCGATATCATCTTCTAGCTCCACTGAGGGAACTTCGCCTGAAGCAGCTGTACGGGCTATCGTTGCTTGCTGCGACCTCAACAAACGTTCCTGCTTGGGAGCTGGCTCAGATTTGATCTTTTCAAACAGTTTTTCCATGTCAGACTGTTGTGTGGGTTTTAAATCTCCCCAAAACATTGGTTTCATGGCTTCCCTAAGCCATCTGTAAAACTCTACAGCTAAATTGGTAGCTTCTTGTCGGACATTTTTGTCTGCATGCCCAAATGCTTTTGGGAGCGCTTTTAGGGCTGGCTTTGGATCTACAATCTTGCATCCAAAGTTGTGATAAATCGATGTGATGGCTACTAGTGTTGCTGCGACGATTTTTGGCTGTTTGTTGGAAAGCGAGAGTAACAAATCGTCAATAACTGGAGCAGCCGTATCTAACTCTATATAAAGTAGGATGGCTTCTAGAGACGAGGCCTTCGTAGCAGCTCTCGTTGATGATAGGCCTTTCTCAACTAGCGGGCTCACAGTATGACTTCGGGTCCTATTGTACCGTCAAATATAGAATCTACCTTATTTTGCACGTTTATACCTTGTACAATTTTCCTTGCTGCCATACTTCAGAAATGCACATAATGCTGCGATTCCTTCCTGCTGCGCTGCGACATTTGAGTCTGACACAACACCTTTCCAAAGTCCAGGGTCTATGTTTAAAGAACGAAAGATGGGGTCAGATTCGTCAGCTGTACTCTCGAATTGCTTTGCTGCGCTCTCATATGCAGCTTTCCTTACTTTCCATACCTGGATATAGAATGTTAGTCTGCCTGTGTGCCGACATGGGGAAAATTTAGATAACCTTATGTTGAAAGCGTTCGGATAATGGAAGCTGACTGAAGTCCTCCTCTTGGTCCGCCATTATGATGAGACAGCTTTATTAGTGGCAAGCTCGTGAATGGAACTTTGAGACGCGCTATTAGCTTTTTAGAATATAAAACAGCGCGTTCTCACTTGACTGAGAGAAAGATGGATACCATATTTTATCGGTATGAAATAGTGTCTTCAACTCAATGTGAATAGGGGAGATAGAATGACATACGAAAGAGGTGGAGTTGTGAAGAGGTTTAACCCTCGTGTGAATACTCCGGGGTGATTAGCTAGGGTTAAGCCTTATTTGCTTACGAACACAAGAATAATTTGAGAAGTATACAAGTTAGAAGAAGAGAAATTTATTCACATTAAATAATGTATTGTAAGTTTTTGTAGGTTATAGGGATTAGATTTCAACTTCGAAATTTATTGTTGATGTTTATTCTGGCAACGACCAAGTCTATCAGCTGGCTCGTGCACTCCTTGTGTGAGCGAAATTTGGGAAATCGATTATTATGCACAATACAAAGCCTTGAGCATATCCGGATATCCGACAAAAGTTATTTGCCAGTTCGCTGGTTATCTTTTGTAATCAAGAGTCCCGGTAGCACTACTTGGAACTTCCAATTTAGGCAGATTTTCGTTAGACCACTCTATCCAAAATCAAAACGTGGTACCTACACCTGGTCGTCCTGGGAATTCCACAAAAGCATCTTCGTTCTGTAAGAACGAACGAACGAAATCTATCTAATCAACTCTAATCGATTCCTGAAAACCCTCTTTAACTTTATGTATTTTTCTTTAACCTCACTATGAGCCAGGTCTTAACGCCGCGGCAGGCCGAGGAACTGTATGTTAATGCGATATTGCTTAAATTTGGGTTACTAATCTAATTGTAGTCACAAGTCAATCATAGCTTACCTATCATCAAAAAACCTTTTCAATAGTGCCACAGCATTACAACAAGAACTAAACCTTGGTGATAGCTTTGACAGTGCAACTAGCAAGAAATACGAAGGTATAATAGAGAAAAAATGGACCGGCATAGTGCGTCTCCAGAAAAAGGTAGAAGAAGGTCTGACTCTTGTAGACTACCGACTGACATTATGTCAAGATTATGGAGCTTGAAGTTGTAAATGCTGGCTTACAAGCTGAGCTTGACTCAGTAACCCCGGTTTCTCTCTCAAGGCGAAACCAAGATCCTTCTAAATGGCTCCCTAGGTCACCAGCTAGACATACACTACAGTCACATCGCGATCCAGTGACTTGCGTCGCCTTTCATCCTGTATTTTCATCACTGGCGTCGGGCTCAGAGGACAATACTATTAAGATATGGGACTGGGAATTAGGCGAGTTAGAGAGAACTGTAAAGGGTCACACAAAGGCAGTGTTAGATTTGGATTTTGGCGGGCCGAAAGGTGGGACGCTTCTAGCATCATGCTCTAGTGACCTCACAATAAAATTATGGGATCCGAACGACGAGTACAAAAACATCAGAACACTTCCTGGACACGACCACTCTATTTCTGCAGTGCGATTTATACCAAGCGGCGCATCTGGGATGACATCTTCGAGCAATTTTTTAGTTTCCGCTAGCCGAGACAAATCATTACGGATATGGGATGTTTCTACTGGGTACTGTGTGAAAACGGTACGTGGACATGTCGATTGGGTTCGAGATGTCTCTCCTTCGCATGACGGTCGGTTTTTAGTATCGGCAGGTAACGATCAAACAGCTAGAATATGGGACACTGCAACCGGAGAGCTGAAGGCAACATTGTTGGGACATGAACATGTCATTGAATGTTGTGTTTTCGCACCTCCTTCTAGCTATAGATATCTTTCTTCGCTTGGAAACTCCAAAAAGCCGCCGCCATTGAGTAGTTCGGCCGAATTTGTGGCAACTGGCTCAAGAGATAAAATTATACGAATATGGGACGTCAGAGGAACCCTGATACATACATTGAAAGGTCACGACAACTGGGTGCGAGGGCTAGTTTTTCATCCAGATGGAAAGTATCTATTAAGTGTATCAGATGATAAAACATTGCGCTGCTGGGACTTGACTCAGGAAGGAAAGCTTGTTAAAACCTTGGAAGACGCGCACGGTCACTTCATCAGCTGTATTAGATGGGCACCCGGAATAGTGAAAGAAGTCCCAACATTAAACGGCAATGACCGGAGCGGCCTAGCCAATGGACCAAGCAAAAAAGAACAGTCAACTGAAATTGTTACAACGAGATGTGTTATAGCTACAGGTAGTGTAGATTTAAATGTGCGAGTGTTCGCATCATGACCATGAAATACGTCGGGTTTTAAGGGAGTTGGGAGTCGGCTCAGGTTGGCAACTACCTCCCAATTGATAGGCTCTCGGAAATTTCCATGAGGGCTTTGTCTATCACTTTTGATATGCGTTGTAGAAGCCAGGGGAATTGGGAATTAAAAGTGAATTGGCGTGAGAATTTTAATTTGTCAGTGAGAACTCAGTGCTCCTTGGTGGAATACGCTTCGAATATCACCTGTCTGGGGTCCAAATAAACCACCATAGAAACCATTATGCGCAATCAAATAGTTTATGGAGTAGAATAATTGGTCCACATACTACTATTCAATCCTTTACGGCTATCACTACACCCTCACCTATCCTACAATAACCTTCAGAGGTCCAATTCATGTTCGAGCTGCTCAAACAATCTGGATCCTACATTTGTATGCTAAATTCAACCAATTCAGATGAATATTTTAATCCAGCCAACCGAAGACCAACCCGATTGATCGTTTAGAATACAATTAGCGTTACAGCAGAGTTGCTTTCGGTATGGAACTAATGAACTGCCAAAGATTCTAGATAATAATTTTTCCATTGATGCGTGGTTGTTTCGATAGTGCAGTGTGCCAAGCTAAAATATGTAGGTGCGGAGAGGAGATTGCACCTTTTCATGACATCGACATTCATCACTATCCTGAACTATTGCACTCATCCTACCTTTTTTCGTTGGAGCATACTAAAATCTTCACTGTCTCTCTGGTACTTCAAATCGTCAACTACGTATTGTCCTGGACTGTACTCTAATTCATCCTTACCGTAGCTCTTGTCACTCTGATAGACCCTCCTCTTAGCTTAAGTCCTTTTCCTTTCTTATTGAGCCACGCGAGGGCTACACGCAGAAAAGTGGTCACCATCAAGATAATAAGGCAGTAGTACTGAGGTGATTTGGCTACATTTAGTGACCTTAGTTCTAGTTTGTCTACATATGCTTTAAAGTTGAGATTAACAATTGATGAAGGCCAGCAAGTCCTTAATGAATGAACTAAAGGTCTGGTACGTAAAGGTATATATCCTTTCTTCTACCTAACTCGAGAAATAGAAAAGTTGGTAAAATAGCTAAAATTCTACAGTTGAAGAGACATCTCTGATTATTGCGAATCCAGAGCTCATCTTCACATAGTTGGATCTAGTCATCTTACACCCAAGGATTCTACTCATGTCCATGAACAAAAGAAATAGGCTAATTTATGATTAGTAAAGCCATCGTAATTTCTCACAATAACTGATAGATTAACTGGCCTTTCGAAAGAATAAAGATATGACTTTGATGGGCTCTTCATGTAATACTGGAGCTCTGATCGAGAGAGGGTTAGCCGTAACAATAGTCTAATTTAAACGCTAGTCAATCCTTCTCATTCCAGCCTACGATGCTGAGCCTGGTATTCCTAAATGAAACGCACAAACTCTGGAGACTATTTAATATACCGTAAGAAAAATGGTGAATATATGTCTTGTTCATTATGTTGCCCGCATCGAAATATTTACAAATGGTTCAAAATAGCTTATATATTATATCATGATCATTATTTCAAAAATAATTCCTTGGCAAAGCTTACGTAGATTTAGCCATGAATTATTCCAAAGTTAATCATCGAAAAGTCTAGATAATATTATCTAGAAAACTCTCCCAAATTTTATACCCGGGTAAGTTATTCGTGAAAATCATTGTTCCCATACGGTATCCTGAATTAGTATTGAGTTCCAAATTCGGTGTATACTAGTTACCATCTTAATCCAACAGTATTTCTTGAAAATTGAGCTTTGGCTGTAATCAGAGAGCGGTTAGTCTGTGATTGAAATTTGGTCGATTTCGCGCCAGAGGGTCATCCTTGATTCTTCAAAGATAATCTTTACTTCAACCTTGGTTACTACTCTTATTCATTTCTCCTCAATCTATTTGCAGAGATTAATCGAGCTCATTATCGTCCAGGCTTAACCTTTTCTTGGCCCTTGTTGTAACGCTAATTTCATTCTGTATAACATCAATATAAGCACGTCACAAAAGAGCAAAAACTTACATCCTGGTCATCTGATGTACTGTTTTCTTGCTCTTGCTTTTGTAAGGCCAGTTTGGAAGCCAACTGACGGCGTCTACGATTAGGAGGAATACTGAGAGGTAATGCAACCCATTTTGGAGGCGGTGGTTCTGTAGCTTGCTAATACTTGTTAGAGCATATTCTAGTGTACAACTCAATCATGAAATCCACCATCAGAAAACAAAGGAGCATCTCGATCAAGGTTTTCAAAGTATTCATAATCAAGCTCTTCAACGCCAAATTTATCATGATTAGGGGCTGGATGGACGGAGTAACCCACTTCTACTCCAACCATATTGTCGTCTTCTCCACTGCCCGTCTCAAACCCAGTCAGACCAGTGTCTGCTAGAGCCGTCCCAAAGTTACCGACAATATTTGCACCCATTTGACGTTGTATAACTGTCTTCACCGGTCTGACACCTCCAAGGATAGCGTTATCCCGTTCTCGGGTTTCTGTGAGGATAACCTCCACGTATGTAATCCATTCTGGATTCATCACCTTTTCAAGAACAGAGTTTGGGAACAGTTGGGATGGATGTCTCGCTGTAAATTTGACAACCTCTTCTGCAATTAATGTCAAGTGACCCATGTAGCCTAGACGTAACTTGATCATCTCATCACTCTTCTTCTGTCCATTTACAATTTTCATTGTAATATCACCAGTCTCGAAAAGATCAAAAGCAAGGGAGCGGTTAAACCCTCGTTCCATAGGTCCATTGAATACTTGCTGTACAATATCGTAAACGACATTGTGTAGAAAATTATTCCATGGAAACCGAAAGAAAAAGTCCTGAATCGTTAGAAGCTTTTTATGGGAGATTGATGTCACATACTAGTATGGTTGGCACAACTTTATACTTGACAAATTGTATCTTGAGGAAGTCTCCAACTATAGGATAATCTAGTATGTTCATACACACGTTGATAATCTGTGAGCTTTGACCACCACACTCCTCCATCACAGAATCTACCCCAGTGAGAGAGGATTCCTCAGATAAACAGTGCGTTTCAAGTTTTGAATCCGGTGTATTTGTCTTCACAACAGATAGAGGAGCTGGCTTATAGTTTGAGTACTCCATTACATTCGATTCTGATTTTGTAATATTTGATGGTAATTTGGGTACTTCGGGAACTTGCTGCTGAGGAAATAACGCTGCGCCAAAATTTTGACTCAAAGAGTCAGAAGTCTGGCTGACTTCGTTCGAGAGATTAACGTCCATCCTAGAGGTTGAATCTTTTCCGAAAGGGTGTTCTTCAAGGGTTGCCGTTGACAGTTCATTCTCAAGTGTAAATAATTGCTCAGTGATTTGGTAACCAATCTGCTCATGGCTTGCATTTTCTAGTCCTAGTGTATCAAGTTTTCTAGAAATCTTTCTCACAGGAGAAAGTGACGCCGTACCTCTTTCGGAGGTTGGTTCTTCCATTATAATTTTTGGAGATAATGGTTCAACATATTCTTCATCATCCTTATCCATCAAATTTATAGGCTCGGAATTATAAAAGTCAGTCACATCATCATCCACAGAATGGCTTACTCGCTCAAATCCGTCATCATCAGACACATTGTGCACCTGAAGCTTTTTGGCATCGTCTCTTTTTGGTGTTAATGTGTTCGAATCTTCTGGAAATATACCAAGTTTTCCTTCGTTTTTGAGTCTCTCCCTTTCAGCATCTCTTTTTCGAATCAATTCTTCGCTATCAGGTTCATTTAAGAGACCCATATTACTACAATGGAGGATTTCTGCCATCAACTCACAAACTTTAAATCTGTCAAAACCAAGAGGCTCAATCTTCTCGCCGAAAGCTGCATTAAGTTGAGTGCGCCTTGTTCCTGGTGGCCAGTTTTTACTTGTTGAATTTTGGTTTGGGCTAAGCATTAAATTCATAAAATCAGGTACCCTTTGTGCAAATAGCCTAAGGAGCGTACCAAGAAATATAGGATCTCGAGTCGAGGGGGTATAAAGTTCAGCGTTAAACAAAGGGTCGTAGTCTGAATTATTTTTTCGTATAACTTCTATAACAATACCGACCCCAACTGTTAATGGGTTACCTCCTTCGAGCATGTAAGTTATGAGTTCTTCGACGCATGGTCGTGATACGAGTTGCCTTGTTAGCTCGTTTGGCCCAACACACGATTGTTGATTTTGCGAAGTATTTGCAGAAATGGTGATGATTGCTTTAAGAAAATCACCTGCAGAAGTTTGTGTTGCCCATGTATGTTCTGATGAAAGGAATGAAATAAGAATCTCTATGAGTCCTTGGCTTTGTAGCCACTAAATTGATTAGTTTTTGGAAAGGCTAAAGCACCATGACTTACATCGACGATACCCTGTCCACCTTCTGACTTTTCCAGACTTATAATTTTAAGTAATAGATCCATAATCATAGGCGAATCAACATGAACAAGCATTTTCTGAACAACACCTTCGAGAGACTTGAAAAATGTGAGCATCTCTTGAGTGCTTCTTTCTAGTAAATTTTCATTAACTCTGGTAAAGTAACTGGCTTGAAGAGGATCAAGAGGGGGTGACAATTTCAAAAATGTCCAAAATTTGGCCATCAACCTATGATTTCTCATTAACGAATCGCAAATCTGCCGCGTATCCGATGATAGAATTTCCGTTGAAATATATGCATAGCGGTTCAGTCTCTTCTCACTGTCTTCTTCGCCTGGTTTTTCCTCGCTTCCTTGCGTTTGAGATCCTGTCCTAGTGTGTCCTTGTTCGGGGTTTCCATCCCCAACAACTTCGAGTTTTGGTGCAACGACATATTCGAGAAGTCGCTCGATGGTGCTGGTTCTACTTAGGAAACCAATAATCTTCACATTCTGCTGCTTTAATTCTTGAAGTAAATCGTTTTGATCTAGAACCTCCTCTAAGGTAATATTTGCATTATCGAGCAAAGAGTCAATATTTGGGGCATTGACATGCGCGCCAAACCGCCAAAACATTGTCAGAGTATAGCCCAGCACCCTATCAAGTATCGAGTAGTCGAGGGAGATATCTTTGTTTGCCTGTGATACAGAAAATTAAAATTTTGGATAACCAGAGAAAATCTGAATATCTTTGTTGTAACGGCCTGCTTTCGTTCGATTGAATAATTATGAGGTGGAGGGAAATATGGACTTCAATTGAATATGAATGTTTAGATGAAGCTAAAAAGTCTATTCGTGTAGCTACTACTAGAATAAGTTAATCATTTCTCGAAGCCAACTTGTTTTCTATTGTGTGGATTGTGGACTTCGCAGACAGTTTTGTTGGTATTTAATGTGCAACAGTGGATGAGCCGAACAAATTGTAAGATTGAAAATTCATCTAGGCAATACCACGAAATAAGGTAGATTACAGAAACGGAAGCCCTATTCACGAGGTTGTGGGGAAGCATTGCACTTGAACAGAATGTGGGGGATAGTACGATTCCAGGATTTGGAGGTCTAGTAGTCTGAGGGCTAGTTGAGTATGACTTACGCAATCCCAATCGCCATGTGATTAAGACTGTAGGCTACCAACACCAACCCAAAATTCCATTCAGGTGTCTCTTCCTCATATTTTCCAGCGTGTTCGCTATCCAGAAGAAATGGAGTCATGAAGTGGGGTCCTTCACTCTTGAAAGTCGGACTCACAACTTAAAGATATACATGCTTCCGATGGCATTCACCTGCAGTGAAAATAGGATGCGGTCATTGGATTTTTTGATATCCTTTTCAAATTAGAACCATATTTTTGTGTTCGCGACTATCTGGCTGCAAAATAGAAGGATATGCCTTATTTTGTACTTCATCACTGGTTTCATCACTTATCAGTTCTGTAGGTTTCTCGTCCCTCGTTGTTGCTAGTAAATTTTAATGGAATGTCAGCTTTGTGACATAAAGCTGTATTCCTTCTTGAACGGATATTACAAAAACGCTAGATACTTGGCCTGTATCATTGTACTTGGTACCATAATTACTAATCCTGTTAACGCCTCACAAATGGTCTGGGCGGACAGTTATGGCACTTGTATTTATTTACGTCGGGTGCAATCTTGTACCAGTAATTCTATGTAATCCCATCAGATGAACAGGGATGTTGAACCTGAGCACCATCTAGCCTGTGGTGCGCAATGACAAAAACATGAAGAAAATGACTGAACACCTGTCTGCGCTGTCCATCATGAAACTGGCAGTTGAACTAGCTCCCATGTTCATAGTAAGTCAAACTGTGCTATACCGTATAATTTGGCCGACGAGGCGACGATTTAGGACTCCCTATCGTATCAAATTTTCGTCACCAACCGGACAAATTACCCGCAAAATCTCATCCGGCCAGCACGGAAAATCTAATACGTCCTTAATTCAACGATTACAGATCTTATCGATTCAGTCTCTTGACTCAGCAGGCAATCAAAATCACAACCACGAAAATACAAATATTCACAGGAGGACAAAAATTGACGGAAAATTTTAGCGAGGTAGATCTTTGTGAAGTACGTGATGGAAAAAGGGCCAATAAATGAGTTGACACCAGGTTGGTTTCTTTTTTTTTTTGCATCAGATTTTAATTGCGTATGTAGCTATCTAGCTATGACACAATATCAAAGAAAAGTACAGAATAGATGATTCATCGTTAAGGAAGAGAACTCATGCCTCAGATTTCATTTGCAAGTACCACTTCGAAGTTATGGTGGCTTTTTCTTCACCCCAAGTCAACCCTCATCCGTGAATACCCACCCAGGGGAACGTCTCAAAAACCCTGAGTTATCCAGAAATGCCTCCATCATCTTTCAACTTTTCTCCGCGCGAAATGCGGTCTGAGGTATCTCCTTCCCAAGTGGAGTAGATGCCCAGGCTACTCAAACCATACCGGAGAACACCACACCAGGTTGGTTAAAACTGCGAGGGGCGTACAATTTTGATTTTGGGAATGGAATTGTCACTTTGAAGAGAATGTATATGTCTTGAATGTGATAGGGAGAATTCGGGCAAATCTAATTAAACAGTTATGGCTGGATGGTGCGGTGGTACATCGTCCTGTTCAGTCTGTCTAGCTTAAGCCGGAAGATCGATTGTTTAATTATGGATAATCTTAGCTATGTTTACCGAGGTGCAGGTCTACATGAGTGATCAAGGCATGATTAGATAATCAAAGGGTTTTGAATCGTCCCTCTAGTGAGTACTCACTGGGGAAAGTCGACTGATTGTGCAAGAAGATATATCATAGAGTGGCATTTGTAAACAGAACACAAAGTTGGGGTATCTTTAAAGTCAAGAGAGTTATCAAAGACGTATAAATAAAGAAATTATTCAATTCTTCTTTGGCGCCATGGGGCCCACGCAGGTTTGATGGGAAGATAAGTACTTTGTGTGGGATGACTCGTTTTGATGTCTAGAACACTCACACTCAGATTTCATTAGCAGGTACCACTCGGGATTAATCCTTGAAGAGTATTAACTATTCCGTGCATATCCACCACAGGATAAAGCATGAAAACCAATGGATATCCAAGTGTGCTTTCGTTACCCAGAGGTTCCTGATGGAGTAGTATGTGTGAATGTGAGATAAGCTAAGCTTTGTGATGGTGTGGGTTAAGGGTGTCTCGTGGCTCCAAACTACTCATATGGGTAGGAGGACTATTCTCAACATCTGTCAGTGGTGTCCCCTACGAACCACCAGCTCTCACTGTAGAGTCTTTTTTTTTTTTTAATTCATAGTGTATTCAGCTATCTAGCTATGACACATTTAAAATACATAGATCTAGCCTTCCCCTCCTTATAAATCACTACCCCTTCATTCCAAATTTAACATTTCCCAATTATTTGTCCTAATTTAACTCCCTTTATGTGCTGCCATGCACTTGGATGTATCCAAATATATTAATAGTGCTTTGTACTGTAGAGTCTGCAGAGCCGAGATTGAGTAACAAAGTCCTCACTTCGAAGAGGATTCCCAATCGCTTACGCGGTCTGTATCGTCTTCATCCCTAAGCACATCCCCCTATCACCACTATCATGAAGCTGACCACGATCAGACCAGATGTTAAGGTCGAGGCCCTTCTCATCACCATCCCTTGATCATGGAGGAAAAGCCATCCGATGAGTTTCTGGAGCGAGCCCAGCACCCAATACGGAGATGTCGGATTAGACCAAGTCGACATCGACTGTTACAAAGAATGGAGATATAGATAAATATGCGCACCTCATGTGGTCCCGGTGTCTAGGCCTCGCCTGGTTGGGCCTGCAGGTTTTTTGAGACTTTTTCCCGCGCACGCAGTTTCCATTGCTACCATTTTTATTTTTTTTGGGTAGAAGGTTCGGTGGAAAAGGTGGCTGAATTCCGCGGGTAAATACTTAGCTGAATGGCTATTCATCAAGGGGAATATATCAATGATCTTTCAAGTAACAAAAGAGGATAGGAGCACTGTACAAGGTGCGGCCTGGGTCAGAGAGGAGCCCAATGTGCTAGATAGTCACGGACTCAAGTGGTACAATAAACACAAACAACCACATACCCACACAATTTTTTGTAATTATTCGAAATTTCGAATATTCACCCTTTCCCCCTCTCCCTTCCTCTCGCACTCGTCGCATTCCTTCAATAAATTGTAATCGAGTCACTGGCATTCTCATCATGCCACCTGTTCCAAAAAAGCTCCCCAACTCAATGTTGGACAACGCGAGAGTCCGCCCGAGGGCTCCTGCAAGAACATCTGGCCTCGCGCAAAAATTATCAAGCCTATTTGCGAGTGAGGCCTTTATCCCTGGGAAGTCTTCCACACTTCCCAATCAAGAGATGACTGATTCTGACCGGATCTGAACAGAAACAAATGGTCAACAGACTGCGAATCCCGCCGAGCTGTCCCCCGAGCCAAGCAGTTCCAGGAAAGGAAAGGAGGTCGTCAGGGAAAAGACGACCGAACGTGCGGAATTGTCTGCCGGAAAAAATGCCGTGCCAGCCTCAAAAGGCGCAGCTTCGACAACAGCGATGGAATATCCCCCTGAGCTGCAATCTGTGATGGAGGCCGAAAAGTGGCGTACGACGCAAATTACGGCCCGCCTTGCCATCTGCTTGACTGCAATAAACAGTGTCGAAGCAGCACTTTCGTCTCTTTCGATCGGCGAGATTAAAGAATTCGTAGACGGCATAAAAGTCTACCTACGAGCGGCCATTGGCCAGTTTGTACAATCAGGCCCAGGAAGCACTCCACCAGCTCTCCCTGCGCGCCCCATCAACCTTCCTCCGCCGAGGGCTCATAAAATTAGGGTACCTAACCCTTCGACAACCCAGGCTCCGGCCCAAAAGACAACTTGGGCGAATGTAGCCCGAGCAGGCCTTGGTCACAGCATTGGGCCATCGACAAAAAAGGCAGCCCCGCCCGCTCCAAAAGCAAAGGGAACTAATACGAGGACAGCGGTCGATACGCGACTATTTCTTCGCCTCGATTACGACCACCCCCACCGACTTCTAGCACCAGCTGGCGTAAGATCAGCTGTCTCAGAGGCACTCGGTGCCGCAGCCAACAACATCACGTTGGTTCAGCGGGTCAAAACAGGCTTTGCCTGACAGCAAAGAATGAACTCGCTCGAAAAAGCTCCTAGATTCCTCCATGTCACGGAGCGAATCTGGAATCAAACTGGAACCAGCGTCAAATCTGGTTGCCTTGCAAATTGCCACCGTACCGGTGACAATAAATAAACTTGCAGGTCCCATCGAGATCACGGCAATGATGGTTGCTGACGAAGTCACGCGAGTGACGAAATCGGTTCCTTTTCTTGTTCGTCCTCATGGGACCAGCAAACCCGGGGCGCCTTACCAGAACTAGCAAGCGCTCTTCCCTCGCGAATCCACGCCTCGACCTGGATTTCGCCTCTTCGATGACTCTGGAGCTGCAAAGCTCTTCCAACCTCGTCGAAAAATAGTTCAGTGCAATCAATGTCTTGGCTTCCATGTCTCGCGCGGTCCCTCCCACGCTCCG